TGAACTCTTTATTATGTTCTTTTGAATTTCTATAGGAGTTATCTGAGTAAAACAAGTTTACCTGAAAAAACAAAGCTGATGTTTTTCTGCGAACTGAATTTGCAGCAAATAGGGTCATAAAAAAAATGACCTCATCGACTCATGTTCTTTTTTCCGATTATCAGGAGCTAAAAAGAGAAACAAACTGATATCTAATATTTCTGCGCCATAAACCAGTGAGTCACTTCCAATATTTTTTTACGTTTGATTTTATTGCACTACTCATGTATATATAGAGCAGAAAGTCGAGCATAGCACCAAACATTTACATATTTGATTATATTCATCTAACACTCCGCGAGCGTCGAGCATCAACAAGCGACAATGCAAAAGATCAGTCAATTGATCTGCTTGTTCATCATATTGTTCTTGGTCACAATAAGTTGCATGGCACAAGCAACGGTGAAAGGAAAGTTTCTCTGCGAAACATTCTTCTCCTAGCGACAAAATCTTCGCACCACTACCTTCTCTTCTTTTCTTGCTGTAGAACATAATAGGTCTTTCTCTGAATTATGCCTTCGATTTGTAACGTATACAACTAAACAAAAAAGTTCCATTAAGCTCTGAAACAATGGTAAAGGTTCGATGAGTTTCAAAAAATAAGTCTGTATCCAGTACTGACTGTATTTCGGCTTTTAAATAGATTACTTAAAACTCATTGTTGCCTTATTGACACTTAAAACTGGCGGTATAGAGATCAGATGGGATAAACAATTCACAAATTCTAGGTTGGCTAGACATAGAAGAATCATGTGAAATTGATTAATATTACATGCATTTCGAGTAACGATTGTTTGCAAAAAAAAAACAGATCCAATTCATTTTTCAACAAGCACCAAACAGACATATTTTCTTTGTGTTTTTTTTATAGGTTGTCCCAATATATTAGAACGATCTAGCTGGAATGCACGGCCGTACAAACATCGTGAACATGTAACAACGTTACCGGTTACACATATTGTTGTACATCAATTAGAAGGTGTCAATTCAATCATGAATCACCAGAGTTGTATTAAGAAAATAAAACAAGTTCAAGATTATCAAATGGATATACAACAATGGAATGATGTTGGTTATAATTTTTTTCTGTGTGACGATAATAATGATCAACAACAAATTTATACAGGCAGAGGATGGAAATATACCGGTGCGCATTGTAAAGGTTATAACGCAAGATCATTGGGTAAGAATGAATTTCTCTTTTAACATTCTAGGGCAAGGGAACTTCGATTTTTGTCAATTTGAACTTCTCATACGCTCTATCCTCGAAGAGTACTCCGGAGATTTTTTCGAGTTTAGTAATTACAAGTAATGTTCATCAAATGCCAATTTACTCGTTATTTGACTAAAAAAAAATAGGATTTCATGTAAGATGAGTTTGAAGAGATAAACTCTGTATCGATCGTTTTTCATAAAATTTGATACAGAAATTTACAATATTATTCCAGTAGGATTAAAATACACAACACGATGAAACTATTCTAAATGATAAAGGAAACCTCTTGTTTCGTATATTTTAATTAAGGTCGTAGTCTTAAGGGTAAAATGTCGAAATATGTATCAATCTATGACTAAGATCTAGCAAAGGCGTCAGGACTTTTGGCAAGGGAGTTCAGACTCCTTCCAAACTTTCCAACTATGCAAGATCATCAGTTCTATACAACAATTTTTAATAAACTTTTCAGCACAACCCCTATGGGATTAAAGTACGAAACTCACATAGTTATAAAGTTTCATGAAAGTATATATTATGTTGATACTACAATATTTACGTATTTGTATTTGTAAATGTTCAAAACTGCATGGAGTTTCATAAGCTTTCAAATTAACCTTGGACAAGAAAATTATCGTAGTAACTAACAACAAATAAGTGCGAATGAATGTAAGGGGAGAGAACAAAAGTTCGCCTAGCTGCAACTCAATCAAATATTTTCATATGTGAGTTTTGTAAAAATTTCCGTGAGGTTCAGACAGTTTTAGGTGGTTAAGCTCTTCCACTCGCTTGTGGTGCCGCCGCTGCAAAAGCCAGAAGCCACGTAAAAAATAAAAAGAGTAGATTTTTTCTAATTTTGGGAATTTCATACAATCCAAACGCAAAAATGCCATACAGTATCATGAGAAAGAGTAGTTTTAAAAACGTGTTTCCGGAAGACACAGACAAAGTGAAATAATAACTACTATGCAGACCCTAGAATGTTCAGTCTAGAGAAAAGTTTTATTTGAATTTTGATATTTATGATTGTAAGAGCCAGTCCATGAAAAAATCATAAAAAATGGAGGTTACATATTTTTTGAAAAGCACTTGCGTCGCAATTCATAAAACTGTCGCTTCTACTTACATGTCTTAAAGTAAGCAGGATCTCATAATTTCATTCAGCATGGTCCTTGAGCATCGGCTGTGGCTTACGTGGACTGACTCACGAAGATTTTTGTTGCTGAAGTGTTATATTGCTTCCCAAGCTAGTGTTCGAGATTTCAAGTCATTTTCTTATATTTTCTGACAGGTATTTGCATTATTGGCAATTATACTAGTATGCAATCTTTAAAGGCATTTAAATCATTAATTCAATGTGGTATTACGACGAATGAAATTATGAGAAATTTTACACTGGTTGGACATTTTAATTCAAAAAAAATTTACGAATATTATTTGCAATATTTTAAAAATGATATCGATCTTCAATATAGCAATCAAGTCAGCAACCAACAGTTTTCTTGTGCACGATAAAAAATATGCCGTACTAAATTTTAAAAAAGGTTCGATGAATGTACAAAACTTTTTCCTAAACTGAATAGTTTAGGATCTTCAGAGTGAAATTTAAACCAAACATGTCTATCTGTGTGCGTGTATATGTCTTTCTATTTTCCAAATAAACTTCATTTTTATGACAAAAATTTGATGGTAGCTATCGTCACTTTCATTGTTTTGAAATAATTAACAACACAGATGGTCGAACAGAGTATGGATTTGTGCGGTTCTTCTTAGAGTTTACGCTAAATTCACATTCACCTCGAGACATCATCGTCACAATACGTACAACGCATGAATAATGATAGAAAGTTGTATTTTGAATTGGTTTCTCGAGTATTTTTTCATCTTCATTCATGTTGAAGGAATCCATTCACTGTCATTAAAGTTCCACAATTCTCTTCATCAAATTCATATTTGAAGGCAAGATTAGATGCACTTATAAATATAAGACTATAGTTGTTCATCTGTTTAAGTTGATGAATATAATTTTGAAATCTTCAGTGCGATAAAGTTGAATCCACCATTAACTAATACTTTTCGATTTGTTAATGCCGATACTGCGTCACTTCGTCATGCAGTATTCATACTATCAGTCATTGTCCAATTTTCTATCGATAGATCATACAACTCAGTGGTATTAGTAGAAGAAAGAGAATTCCATCCACCAGTAACTAAAAATTTTCCATCAGTTTATATGGATGCTTTTTGTCAATATCGTACCATATTTATACTACCAGTGTTAAACCGTCCTAAAAAAACCATTTGAATATATCAAACTGAAAAGCTAACCATCATTGAATGCACACGATTATATGTATCCCGAGGAAGTGTTTTAAAATATTATAAAATAATATTGAACTGATTCAGTGGAATTGTTTTATTAGTGAAAACATCGATTGACCAGAAATATTGTGATATAAACATTTATAGGCATTGTTTTAATAAAAAGATAAGACTCCGCCGAATAAGTCAACGAATCTGGCATCGTCTAAGATAACATTTTAATGAATCTAAAAAGAAACGTCGTACATTTCCATGTAGTTCTGTACATTTGTCCTAGAAACTGCTTCTGAAAATTACCTAAAAAATAAGTTAATTTTGATTCAAATAAATATGGTCTAAAGGGCTCAACCAATCAGATACATGTTTGTCATTGATCTATTTTGATTAATTCAACATTCGTTTCTGTGAGGATTTTGTTAGAACGATTGTTTAATAATTATATATTAGCAGTAAAGATGTAATTAATTGATTCACTAATTTTCCAACTACCCCATTTGGCATAAATGTGGTAGGTTTTCAGATTTATCTTTGGCATCGCAGAAATAATCTGATCCGAGTGTGGGTGAGGAGTGAGGTTCCAATCTGTAATTCAACCATATTCACTAACATCCTATTTCTGAGGACGAAAGAGGAGTTGATAATGCGATGTTAACATAGAATGGATGAAGGTGATTGAAATGGCCATCAAGTGAGCAAAAACAATGGTCGATAGTCTTTATTTTGACATGCAATTCTAGCAACGACAGCTGGAAGTGGAGTATTGAATGATATTTTTTGATAACAAATAAAAAAAGATGCAGCAAAATTTAAATATATGCGTATATATAAGTGTATCCTTATCTTCTATTATACTTTTCTTTTCTAATAGTTTCAATCACAAATGATGAAATCTGACTTTTTGTATATATGAATCAAAGAGATTTTGTCTAAATATAAATATAGTGTATAATCAATGTATTCAAATAAATTATCTTGATTTGTATCTATTTGTATCTGCTTATTATCGAAACAATGGAAACAAAATAAAATCTTACCGATAAAAATATGTAAAGCTCAAGCATTTTCAGAATTTTCTCTTTTATACCAAAGGGTATACTGCAGTGTATATTACAGTGATTTGTATCGAATTTTCGATAAAATTCTTCGCTCTACACCATATCCTAAATTGAACAAGATCTACAGAACTTGATTGAGGAGTATCTCTATAATGAAAATTATGGTTTATTTTCTGGCACATTCGGAAGCAAATTTATTAAAAACTAATGATAATTTACAGTCATGTTTTTGAATATGAATTTCAGCTGAAAACTTGAAGTAGTTTTATGAGAACAAATACAAGCATTGTGACATGGACTCGATTCGCAGTGGATTTTTTCAGACAGTTAAGGTCAGCAGACCAGTCATCACTACCAACACAATTCTTACAAATGAATAAACCATTAGGATCGACAACTTTTTTAATGGATTTTAATCGATCATAGATCGCTTTTGAACCGAAAAATTTCTGTTGCCAATTTGGTTCATTTGGATCAGCTTCATTTAAATAACAGCCAGATTGTGCACCACCAGACACAGTTTGAAGAATTTCGACTTGAGTTCGAAGACGTAAAGCAAGAATTTCTTGGTCAGCAAATGATGTATTCTCATCCCATCCTTGCGCACTAACCATATGTAGCAGTGCGGTACGCCATACAGGATTGATACTGTTATTAATCGATATATTAGATACTTGTCCAGCTACCAGATGTCCGATTAGTATCGATTGATTTACACTTCGACCTCTGGCTCGGAAGAATGCTTCAGCCACCTGATCGGGCTGGTTACGAACGATTGTTTCAGGAATGAGACGAGATCCGAGTAGAACATTACCACCTGTAGAACTCGATGTAGCCATTATTTGAGCAAAATAATCATAAAATGATGGTATTGAAACGGTGGAATTCATCGTGAATTGTAAATCTGTATGATTTTTCATTAATTGATCAAATATCGCAGTAGTTACAGAAAAATCCCCATTTGGTACGAAAAATGCAATGTTTATATTGGTATCTGTCATATAAAAATAGCCGGCGTAGCCAGCGTCAGCTAATGTTGGCATAAATCGAATAAAATCTCGAATGAAACGAGCATAGTGTGTTTCGTTCGCCGCAGAAATGCCATAAAGAACACTAACCATGGATGGGGAAGGAAATGTACGTAAAACAGCCGAAATTACAACAGCAAAACTTCCACCGCCTCCACCGCGTAACGCCCAAAACAAATCTTTATTTTGACAGGCATTGACTGTACGACGTTGTCCATCGGCAGTGACAACATCAAATTCGAGAACTTGATCAGCAGCCATACCTTTCCAACGAGTCAACGGTCCATGTCCACCACCTTGCAAAAAACCGCCAATCGCGCCTACCGTTTTTGCTGCACCTCCAATTGCTATCAAATTGTAAGTGGATAACCAAGCGTATACTTCACCCCATTGTACACCAGCATCTAGACGAATGGCATTCGAAATAGTTTCACCAGTACATAACGCATATTGCTCGATTAAAGTCATATTTTTCATATAATGAAGCCAGAGAAGCAAAGAATCAGCAGCTGTTGAACGACCCAAATAATCATGTCCAGTAGTTTTTATCACTAATCGAAGATTGTTTGCATTAGCCAAACGCACTGTTGCTTGTACATGTTCAGCCGTTGTCGCGTTTACTGCTAATCGAGGAACAGATCCTTGAGTACATGTAACATTTTCTAGGTATTGTGAACATGTAGTGTTTTCCCAATTATAATTTTGCATAGCTCCAACTTGTTCACCACGCCACGTAGCATTTGTCCATTGAGCAAGAGCGTTAATGCAGATATCAATATTCGGTGGATTGCCGCTACAAAATGCAGCAGATGGTTGAACAGGAATTAATCGTCCATTGACAGATTCATTAAAACTTTGCCAAACTGATAAAGTTGGCCAACAGGTCGAATCCTTCATCAAACATCGACAACGTAATTCTTGTTAAAAAATAAAAATATAAAAAACAGAGCATCATTGCTATTGCCAAAATGAATATGAAACCGATGTGACAAAATTTACCTTTTGCAATCAAATTGTGACGAAAAATAACGATGATGAAGAAAAGTATAATAAAAGTTACACGTTTTAACATTTGTTTTTTGGTCTATATTAGTTTATGTACTGATCTTTCTTTTTTACATTGACATATATAGACGCTCACCTTGATGTTGACATTCAATATCTTACACGTTTCTTTTTTTATTCTTCTATTTATTCTGCTTTAATTTTAGTGATAAGGATTCTGGATAAAAATATTTTTCGCTCCATTCAATTGCTATGTTTAATTAAAATTATTAGCAAATTTTTTGGCAGCATTCAAATTTAAGTAGTTATTTTGATAAAAGTAACACGCATCTTTATCCAGTAAATGAAAAGATTACTGATTAATCTGATTTATTTTGCAATATTCAAAATTTTATTATTAATACAGATATAAATAGCAAGAATGAATCTGCATGAAAAAATTTTTATTTTCTTTCAATTAATTCTATATTTATCAAGTGATTCTGTCAATAAAATTAAAAAAACAACTTATTGATCGGTTTATTCATTCTTTTGCCAATATTCTGATTGTCTTTGCTCTCTTCAAATTTAAAAATAGAACATTTGACTATCGAACATGAATAAAGACAAAATGCAATAAGCGAGCTTTAGCCGACTTTTCTTAGTTAAATAATAACATGATTATATTGATATTGCTCGTGTTTTTGTAGCTTTGGATAGGTTATTAAGAGCACCATCTAAATTCAGATTATTTGTCGTAGTATTTATCTTTTTCTTATCGAAACTTTCGTTCTTATTAACATGGGTTTACAAAAAAAAATGAATACGTATATATCAATGCTACAGATTTACTTGGTGATTCATGACGATTATCAAAAATAAAGATTGTTGATAATATGATACATTAATTAGTATGGCAAGTCTTGATTTATTGATTGACACATTCATGATTTTATGGAAATTCATATGAACTTTTTTTTTGCAGAGAATAAATTTAATTTCTTTTAATGATTTTGGCTTCAAACTTGCAAAGAATGAAGACAAGTAACAAAATATATATATATATATTCAAAAAAAAGTATTATAAAAAAAACATGCTGAATGTCGCAAGGATTTTTTATTAGAAAGCAACATTATACAGGTTTCCACCACTTCAAACACATTGCTCCACAAATATGATGTAGTTGTGTGCTGCGGTGAGCAAAAAAACATGGTTCCATTATATTGCTTTGTATGAATAAATAAAACGGAATACATTTGTAGAACAAACGTTAGGCGGTGCATGCGTCGTGTCGATTTAAAAGAAATAACAAGTATTTCATGGTAATTGAAATAACATGTATGATATGTATTAGAAAAAAAAGCTTTTGAAAAGACTCTTTAGTACGTTTAGCCATTAATATATTCTCACAATGTATTTACAATACCTATGAGAAAATGTTTGGTTTTATGTGATTTTTAGATTGATTAAAAATAGTTACTTAATTTGAATTAATAATCTTCGTACAGTAGAACAAATGAATAATAAATAGAAAAATGAGCGTCTCCATCAATATGCTTTTACGTAGTGTTTTACTAATGATTTTCAATAACAAAAAGAAGATGACATAAACATATAAACGCACTGACATTATTTTTAAATGTTTAGGCATATACAATGATATTGTGAAAAACTATGAAGTCAATTGGTTTTCTGCTCCTATTAATATTCATTATTCTGATACTCAACCACTACAAGTCACATTTTATTTTTCGTTCTTCATCTCCACTGAAAATGCAAGTTTGTTCATTTGATCACATTTCTATGTGCCAGACTCGTGAAAATATTAATCGTACATTTCTCTATATTATTTGGGGCGGAGCAGGATTTTGTAGTGAACTAAATCAATTATTACTGGCATTTGCATATAGTGTAGCGTCCAAAAGACATTTTCTTATTGATAGTCGACAATGGAATTATGGAAATTTTAATGACTATTTCAATTTTGAAGCAAACATATTTTATTCTTTATCACATTATACATTTCTTAGTGAGATTAATCTTAAAAATGATCAAATCGAACATTTAAAAACTACTCGAACAGGATCCCAAGTGAAAACATTTTGGGTTGCTACACGACATGTGCAATCCATTGAAATAAAACGTCGCGTAGCACATTATTTATGGCAACGGATGACAAAAGAAACAAAATTATTTATTCAAAAATATAGAATATCCAATATATCAAACTATATCGGTATCCATATTCGTAGAGGAGATAAATTAGTGAAAGAAGCTCGTGTAATATCATTACAGAAGTATATTGAAATAATTGAACGAAGAATACTAGTAAAGAATATAAGTCAACATATATTTGTCTCCTCAGATGATCATTTAGTGATCGATGAATTGTGTCATTTGAAACCAACATGGAATTTTGTTAGTATATACAATAATCATTATAACAATACTCAACGACACGGTCATTTTCAATCGCAATTCAATCGTTTATCATCGAGTGAAAAATTGTTTGAAACACGTTTATTAATGTGTGAGCTTCAAATGTTAATTGACTCTCAATATGTTCTTTGTTCAATGTCATCTAATGTTTGTCGATTCATACAAATTTTAAGACATCAACATCCCTCGACTGTTATTTCATTGGATAGATCATGGTTTGGAACATAAACAAGTAAATGATATTCATATCTAGAGTAATCTCAATTATCGAATTCTTAATATAATTGAACTACTTCAAAAGAAAAAAGCAACGAATGTGGATTTTTATTAACATATAACAAAATCATTATGTACTAATATCTCATTTATTCAAAATATCCTATTATAAATAAATTAAGTTTATGTTAGGATCAAATTACTAATATCTTGAATTGAGAGTAATCAATTAAATATTTTAGAATTTAGTTATCTTCATATTTATGTGTGAAAACAGTTGAAGAAAATCTAATTATGCCTTTGTGATAATGATCATCTCTTTTATTATCTAATGTAAATCTTTTCCAGCATTGTCAAACCTCGCATTTCAGATAATATCATTCTTCAAAGGTCAAAATAAATTTTTTCATTCCACACATATAAGTCATAACTCTATAGCTATCAGTATTCTTTGTTTTTTTTTCTTATTATTAGGTTTATACGAAGAGACGCTTGTTTATTATACCTCACTGTGAATATTGCAGTAGATCAATCAAGAGATAATTCGCCGATATCATTCGATCTGTGCCATAGGTGTAAAGAATGATTGTGTGACGAATTATTGCTCTTGCTGCATTGGAAAAAAAATACTATAAAGAGAATGAAACATGTTTAAATACTAGACTTTTCATATGTAAATTGTCAATCGAATATTAACCAAACACAGTGAACTTTCAATGGGAATTGCTCGGTTGATTCATCGTGTTTACAGCAAGGTTTCTTCTAAAAAAAAACAGGCTGTTTTGCTAGCATTGTTGCTGTTGTCTCTTCTATCTGGAAAGACCATTTGTATAAACTTTTTGTGTTCTACGATAGGTTTGTCTTGCACATCTTGTAAACGCTATTATTCGAAATCTTATAACAAGCGATTTTATTGTCTCTTGATGTTAGTAAGTTAATTTTAGGCTTATCTATCTATTTTCTTAAAGTTGAGTTAAGAATCTACTACTTAGTCATTATTCACTGTGAAGTTCTAGTCTAATGTGAAATTGTTTTTTCTGTTCTGAGCGGAGGAAAAACACGAATACATGAATATATAAAAAATAATAGAAAACAACTCATGTGCATAATTCTTTTTTTTACTTTCAAGAGAGAAACCATAACACTATTGAGTAAATGAAGCGCTCAATAAAAACAAATTTTGACTTTTGTTTTTAGCATAAGATGCGTCAATGTTCAAAACCACAAACTTCAGCATTCTAGCTTCTAATACTCTTCCATTGAAAAATCAACACAAAACTGATTTTTTGTTACTGAGATGATTACACCAGAAAAAAAACAATAAATACCTTATAAAAGTTGTATCAGTTTGAGTTCCAAACTATTTGCATACAATATTATGCTCAACAACTCAAGATTTATAAAATCAACAGGAGTCAAACAACTTTCTTCTGATCAGTTCTACACGTTCACTTTACAATAATATATCTTTTGCTGTATTTCAGAACTAGATAATTTCTATAAAATAGAAAAAAATAGTATTTTTGATCACAGCTGTTCCTTGTTAGTAAAAATTTTAGTTTTTAAGACGTGATTAATTATATTAAACATCATAAAATAATCTTATAAATACAGTATTAACATCTATAATATGTCAATGATGTGATTAGATCCATTGAATGTTGTGTTCTTCGTACAGGGTGGTTTTGATTAGTCTAGTAATCATATGGGAGAAAGGAGGGTCAAACAATCACCTATTGTTTTCTTTGAGGCATTGTATAATCATAAAAGGCATCTGAAGATAGAGAATATTTTGTTATTATCCGAAATTATCAATTGTTTAAGTTCAATATTTCGAAGACGAAGCGATGCAACGAATCGTTAATTTTTACCAATCGATAGCTCATGAGGTTTACTCAAAACATTTTTTTTGAAGCTTTTGAGCTTTATGTACCGCTTAGTTTTTATAATCAATCTACAAAAGCTTACTTCAGTGATCAGAAGTGTTAAGAGTTAAGATTATCTAAATATTGTATAGTCATAGACAACTTCATTTATGTGTGCAATTGAGTTCATGAAAGTGGGCTAATACATATGGAGGAAAGTAAAAGAACATTTTTATAATCTAAAATAAAAATTTGCTCGCATAATACCATTGAAAATGAAGCACAGTTAGAATCTTGATTATGACTATCATTCAATCATGTTTCTATTTCATTAACTTTACAATTTAAAAAAACGGATTATTCAAATCGTTTTATATCATATTTATCATCACTGGTTTGATGATAGTTACTTTGAGGAAATTAATATGTTTTGATGACGATTTGATGTATTGAAACGACACATATCACTTGAGCATTGATTGAAAAGAATAGGTAGTTGAGTATTTCGTCTATCGAATGCATTTTGTGTCTATATATCAATACGTTTCAATGTTTTGCACATCTGGCAACGAAAAATTGCTTTTATTTTCTTTACTAGTTGCTTAATAGATTTGATCAGAAGATGAGATATTAAATAATGTCCTTCATTTTTTTCGACGAGTATTTTCGCTATTAAGACAATTTAAATTATTTTCTAATTTCTTATAAAAATCTAATATTTCAAAATTATTCTTTTTTTTTGCTTTTGTGATAGCTAATAGCTTCATTTAGTTTAATAAAGCATTTATATTGTGATATTTATCACTAATAACTGATGGATTAGTTATCTAAATAAATTTTTTCTTCATTTGTAGTAATTGAAAAAACGTATGGCCATATTTTTTTATATTTGGTTTTATAAATGCCGTTGGTATGATCTACATGAAACTCTTTCAAGTTTACTGCAAGTGTCGATTGCGAATATGATGTGGATTAAATTGTAATTCATTCACGTACAGTAGATCAGTGTAATCAGTTGAAATTCAAGGAAGATCTGTGTGCATTGCTCTCATAATGGAGTCATCAATCATAAGGATGGTTTTTCTTTTTAACTATCCATGTATTTCTTGTCTTTATATATCAACAGTTTCCATCGTAAAAACTTTCTACCAAAAAATGTATCCTAAAAATCGGAAAAAGCAGCACTTGAGATCTAGCTGTATTGTTTAATTTTAATTTTAAATAAAGGTATCTTAAAACAAAAAAGAACTTAATAACTTTAAGATTTTTGAACAGTCATAATATTTTGAGATCATACAAATGAACATATCTCTTTCTACGTGATCATACGTATTGTTGATGAAATATATTTTTTGTTATATATTTATAGAAGATACAGGTATGGCTGGTCACGCTTACAAAGTATTAATCTTGTTTCTCGTCTTTAGCATCCAGAGCTTACTGTGCATGGTGAAATAGGATATTGCTAGAAAATTCCACACTCAAACAAAAGTTTCTTTATTTTTGGGCATCATATGAAAAACTTGTCCATAATATAAATACCTCTCACAGTCATATTTTGGTACACGTGTGTCCAGTCTGCAGTTTTGATTCTTTAAGATTAGAGGAACCTGTTCTGTCAATCATCATGACCTAGTATATCACAATTTTGATCATTGATCGAATGTCTTTTCCGATCAAATTTTTATTTTTCCTGCCATGTATATGTCATTTTCTGTGTACACAAATGAAATCAACCTTGCAGCCGGGTACAACAGCGTTAAAAATAATAATATAGTTTTTTTTAAAATATATCATACAAAATTTAAACAAGTTCGTTATAAATTCGAGCATGCATGATAACATATCCGGTGTAACAGGAAAGGGCAACAAAAGAATTGACAAAGTTCACCCAATAACACTGATATGTGAGCGTTGCTTATTCATGTTTCGGAAGAAAAATAATCAACGACGTATGTCATACAGGTAAACGAGAATGTCATGTGTTCTTATTTTGAGTACATATGGAACATTACTTTTTGTCAGCAGTAGTAACATGTTTTTATGAAAAAAAAGGAAGGCAAAAGAAGGAATAGGATGTTAACATTAGATTTTTGTTACCTGTTTTATACAATCGTTTATCGTTATTTCGTACAGTTTCTGATTACATTTAGTGATCTCTAAAATTGGTGTCAGATGATTTCTCTTGATGTTCAGGGTTATTTGCCATGTTCTTTGGCGATGTCGAACCTTGATGAATACTAGTGCAAACTTTTAATAACCTAGAAAATAATTGTCAACCATTAAAACGATAGCTTTTATCAGCAGGACCTACTAATTAGAGTTGAGAGAAAATCAATGCAAATTATGAAACTAATTGACCAATATTTGGGAACACTTGAATTATTTTCTACTAGTGAAGAGTTCTTATGCAAAAGTCATGCATGCCCTGCTCTACCAACATGGAAGGTTGCATCTAAAAGCTTTTCTAGTTTGATTTGATTAATAATGAGTTGTGTCTTTTTCAATCATGTTTCTCTTTTAGGAAATTGATCTTTGATTATTACTTAGCTAATCGCAATAATCGCACAATACTATTAATGAAAATTTATCTGCGGAAGTAAGGGGAAAAGACATATCATGTAGGCGTTTTAACAGTGTTCATTCCTAAAAAAACTTCTTCACATATTGACTTCCGCTTATCAGTATTTGAAAGCAAACATGACATTGTGATACTAACGTTTATATACTATTTTTGACTCATATTACTAAAATTATTAATACCATTCTCATAGAAAGAATCATATTCCTAGCATGCCTCTGAGATATTCTTGAATAGTGGTCATTTAACAGAAAAATATTCAAGTGTTATTGATACGCTTAGTTGATGCATCTAGTCAGAAAAATACGGAATTTCTTCTCAAAATATGTCTGATGAAATTTTATGACAACTGTTATATTGCCGATTTGTTATGAAATAAGAACTAGTTCTATGCTTTTTGAGATCAGTGAGTGACGTATATATGAGGCTAAAAATATACATATGGTAAATGACGATTAATCGTATTTCTAGTTAATACTACTGTATCGTTGGCGAACAAAATAATATGCCGAGATTATTCAAGTACTTTTCAACTGTTTAGTTTGTTGGCGTACTTTGGAAAATGTGCTGCAAATTCTAAAAATTTTGGAACTCGTGTCGAAAATTTCGAGCAAATGTTCTCTTATCTGAGCATTAACTTCAACAAGAAAGAAACAAAATAAAGTGTATGTATACTAAACGTACAGATGTTCAGTGTTTTAAATGACAGAAAGTAATCATGAATCATTTTTATCAATGCTTGCAGAAAGTACTAATTCATGTTTTAGTGAGCTTGATTTTAGATATTCTATTCTGTAATTAAAATCGAAGTTTTCGGAATTTTTGACATGGCTACCCGTGGTATAGGAGGAAAAATCGCACACAGCATTCTACGTTTGTCTGATATGGCTCAAGAATATAACGAACTTCTCATGCCAATTAGTGGTTATGAATCGATGCCACTTGTTATTCTCGAAGAAGCTGTTCAACTACTTGTATCATTATTACCAGCTGTTCAAAGTTACGTCTATGTAGCCAAGCAGAAATCCAAGACACCAGCTGAAAATTTGACACAGAACGAGTCTGCTTCGATCATGCTTTATTCCATAGAATGGGAATCACTTGACCAATGTCTCTATATATCCTGAAATGCTATTCTGCAATCAGTAGATAGAGAATAACTTAAACCATGGTTTCTCTATCTCAAATTGTTTCTCACGGCACTATATCGATTACCTACGCTTCCTTATCTGTCTGTCTATCGAGGAATCAAATAAAAATTTGAGTGAAAAGTATCGCAAACGTGAGACAATCATATGGTGGAGCTTTTCTTCTTGCACCATGTCAATCGAAGTTCTGCACCGAACAATTTCTGGGCAAAACTGGAGATAGAACATTGTTCACTATTGACTGCTATGAAGGCAAAAATATCTGTAAACATTCGTATTAATCATCAGAAGATGAAGTGCTTTTGCTTTCCGCGACTCAATTCGAAGCGAAAGGCTGTCTTGATCAAGGACATGGCCCGCACATAATTCAGTTAGAAGAATCTCCGACTCTTGTTCCACTTTTATTTCCAGTTCATCCTTCATTCAATGTACATCGTCCAACTTCTAAGCAAGTTGAAAACAAGAAGCAAAACAATATCGGCAAGAAAATAGTGGCATGAAGCATGGTTAGTAAAATAACATGATTTTCATTCTTGCAATTAATCATGAATCAGATGAGAAGTCATTCATTATGACAATAATAAAATAATTAGTAATTCAGGAGTAGTCGATTCTCATGTAGTCACAAGGGAATATCAGTGTGATTAACAAAAAAAATTTCTTTTTTCAGCTGGTATCCTAATTTCCATTTTCGTTCTTTGAACAATGACTCTTTTAAATAGTAAATATTCACATATTTATGTATTTTAGAAGAAAGACACGAGTGGAGCCACACGCCAGAGTATTGTAACAAGAAATTAGAAAAAAAAACTCGTCCAAAATGCATCATCTTCGATATGGGGTTTGAGTCGTGGAAATCTAATTGATCAAGACGTGATTATTGTAGCAAATGCATTACGAAGAAATCAGGTAAGAACATCATTACTTAATAGCGAAAATCACAAAAAAGAAACAGGCATTGCTGCTTGGTAGTTGTTATTAAACTTGGATCTCTAGTCTGGCGATTAATCTTCGTCAATTCTTCTTTACTAAGTACTAAACAGTGAATTGTGTTTTGCGTTGTTTGATGGCCTATTGGAATAGGGCCGCAAATTCGATAGCTATTTTGATGGCTTATCTGACGTGTAGATTAGCTATTGAGTTCCAAATCTCGAAAAGTCGCATAAATATGATTTTTCTCCTCACAAAAAAAATCTCCAGTAACCTTAGTCGCCTATGGCGAAGAAAATTCTTAGCAGATTCTAGTGAATCTGATTCAGGTTTTTCGTACAGTTCTTTTTCATTTGTAATGAAGAATTCTCACTTTAATCAATGGATAATGTATGATTCGATATTCACTTCGAAAAAAAACTCAATGTTTCCTAAAAAACTTTTTCTAAGCCTATTTGATGGAAAAAATGTTATTATTGGTTGCTGGAGGCAATCAAAAACTATGATGCGCAGAACAAATCTATCAAACTGATAGAAACAGAAGTGTTTTTGTCTAGCCTCATCTACGAATCATGAGTCTAGGACAGGCTTTTGTTTTTCCAAGCCTTGTGGCTTCACCACTTATACTTCTCTTGATTTCTCCTATACGCACACTGTTCAAACTTCTTAAATTTTTTTCTGCGTACAAACATTCTGTCAACACTTGAAACGTAGCAGTACACTATATGGTAGTCTCTGACATAGACTGTTAAAAAACTTTATCTTGGATAAAATCAAATAAGTGACCAAGGAGCAACACAACTCACCAGTGTTTTACAAAACAACATCGTAAGTAACAGTTTCTATACTCTTTTTTTTCTCATTATTATCTGTGTTTTACACAAAGACACTTACTGTACTCAATCTTTACGATGATTGCATTGGTGACAAAGAAGTCAGACAACTTGCCGATGCTTTACGGCTCCATAAGGTGTTTCTTTCATTGCTATTAGCGTAGTTTGATACAGACACTTCGAAGAACTCGATCTTGGAGGCAATGACATCGGCAATGCAGGAGCAGAATATCTTGCCAATGCCCTATGCAATAGTACGGTAAGTCAAATCCGTTATTCAGCATTTCTATTGTCATAGAAACATTTTGCATAGACAGTTACCACATTATCCCTCTGGAAAAATCACATTGACGAAGCAACAAAGAAACGAACGATGGACATTTTAAAGAGAAATATGAAATTGACTGTGCACTGGTGATAACTAATCGATGAGATTTCGAACAATAAGGAGTGTTCTTTGCTAAAGGTTTTTCATGCTTCTGATAGTAAAAATCGAAGTCATAAGTTGCTGTTCTGATGTTCATTTCGTCTAGAACTTTATGATAAATTATCCCAATGTATCACAGATAAGAATAAGTAAATTAATGGTGTTTTAGTGTCTTTCGTTTCACCAAGATGAACATCATTAATTAGCATCAAAGATTGAAGAGATCTAATGTCGGTAACTCTAGCCATGACGGTTTACCATTTTCTTCAGCTTGTCTTTAGTCTATCATTTGTTCTTGTCTGCTTAGCCTTGCTTTCAAAGTCTGCGGTTTTCTATTTCACAGAAAATGACCTGACAATTAGAAATATTTATTGATTTAACACATAATGCATCCGGCAACATAAGACAGAATAGCTAAAAGATATAAACATTAATTTGGAAAAATCGATCAGTAAACTGAGTAAATGAATTGACAATATACAAGATTGTCATCATTCGTTTTCGTTCATAAGCATGTCGAGTCAAAATGACAAGAAACCATTGGTTCACCTTTGAGTTGCAAAGATATTCTATTGTATCTTTAGATAGCTACACTTCCTGTTCGAAAAATGAAGTATTTTTCGATTGAAAAATATTGAGAGTGTGAAAGATGACTAGTTGAAGAAAGCACGTCAACGTCCGCCACGTACTATTTGAAATAATTTATTCAAGAGTAGGTTTATATAATTGACTTCGATTTTCGATTCAAGGCCACCACAATGGAGTTAATCCTTTCGTATTTCACACAAGCATCTATTATTTAATGTGGTAAGACGAGTGAAAGTTTGAAGCAATTCTTTCCAAACAAAGTGAATAAAACAAAACTAGCTCGATACATATACAAAGTGAAAGACGCAAGAAAATCTTACTATAAATCTTTCTTTTCGAATGGACTCATTGTTACATTCGTATTGCTGACGCATTCTTGATAAATTTATCTTGTACATACTTCAGAACAAGTGTATTCATGTCAATACATTTTGAATACAATGAAAGTTTTGGACTGATATTGAATTGGTGTTAACAACAATCTTGTTGTAGTCTGTCAGTACACTGAACTATTATCAATTGATCAATCAATATTGCTTTGCTTGATAGAAACAGTTATCGTCAAAGGAAACGGTGAGTAAAGCTGAAGGCCACATTGACTACCATTTTCAAAAAACATACTTTCAATCAATATGATCTCTATACCGTGAAATAAATGCATAATTGTTCTACAAATTGGAAAACTAATCCTCTTTTTTTTTGAAGATGGGATATCTCAGAAAAACATCATTTCGATTAAACATTTGCATTAGATTCATTGAGTTAGAGCAAATTTGTAGAATTCAACCTAAGAATTCTATTTAAAACTCACCCTATACGCAGCGAGAGGCTTTTTTCAGATTGATTGTCAATCAGCAAAAGTCGCTCCTCATTCATATAAAGAGAATGTCATTCGATACTAGCTCTGAAATTGATCGAATCGAGATAAATGTTTCCTATCATTCTGTTGAATAAAACGAACTGAGAAAAACCACGAAAGGGAATTCGTTAGCGAAATTAATGTCGAAAATAATGATATTTATTCGTGCCAAGTACTGTTCATAGAGAAAGCAAATCTGATTGTCTTTGATAATAATAAAATAAAAGAGTCGTAAGTGATCAATGAAAACTACTTGTCAGTGACGGATAAGACTTGTTTAATATCATCGTATCAATTGTCTGAGACACAACAAGAAGCCAAGGCAGATAAGTTTCCAATATGAAACCTGAAACACATCTCTGCATGTTTACATTCGTTTTCGAATTCTCTTGCATTCAATGAAGGAAAAAACAACAGTATAAATATAGGCAACTTCATCAATCATCGCGACGAATCCCGATTTTGTCATTATTATCAAATGTGCAAAAAACTCAAGTTTTACTTTTATTAGTATGAAGCTTGGCATAAAGCTAACATAAAAACGTATTGAGAAGAGCAATAGTTAAGTTACAAATGTATTTGAGTTAAGCATGAAAATAGTTCGTTTATATAGATAGTCTTAAAGTAATATTTTGCATTTTTGCTTAAGATGCCTGCCAAGTACCGTAAGCGAGCATACTCGAAAGGCCAAATGCGATCAGAATATGAAGTATCAGAAGAAAAATTTTCAATCGCTCCTTAAGTATATTTTGTGGGGATGATGGGTCGTCGGCCAATTTCGTCTGGCTTCCATTATCAAGACCACACAGTTTCAAAGGTTCGATTCTGATTTTAACGTTGAATGGTAGCCAGTTCTTGGAGTAGGAAATTTTGAGATATTCGAAGCCAATCAATACTGCAAACTCTACCGATGCCCATGCCACAAGAATTCGCCAAGGTTTGTACATGACAAAATCAAACATAGTAAACAGAGTAGCAAGAAAAATAGTTGCAATTGAAAAAATCAATGCGCCGATGCCGACCATGGCATCTACATAGTTAAAAATAAATCGATGTTGATGATCGGGATGACATCGAAATAGAGCCATCATTGGTTGGATAATAGCAGCACCAACAACAAGCACACCACTGATTGAATGGGCAAATTCACGTGATAGATTTTGAGAAATCCAGGTACCGTGTTTATACTTAAGAATAGCTGCGAATGCAATCAGCGTCATTATTGCAGCAAAAATCATAATTAATCGATGGACAGCAAACCACACAGGTTTATCACAAAGTTTTCTTTTGGGCCAAGATTGTTTGAAATATCGAGCAATGAAAATACCTGTTGAAACAAATAGCATCCAAATAAATAACATAATAATACCATGAGCTCGCAAGAAAATTTTTCTATCATTTTCTGACCCTTCAATATTAATCAGTGCTATTGTTCCTGGTTGATTGAGTTGCATCATTTTAGTTTGCACAGTAACTGAGGAATGTTGTAATAATGAACCTATTATGTTAGCATAGACAAAAGTTGAATCTATTTTTCATGGAAAAAGCATCTTACTTGAACTATCTAATTGTCCTACGGCTGTAAGAATACGATATTGTGTATTTTGTGAAAGTATAGAAATGCTTCGTTTTCTTCGACGTCCTGTTGTAGTAGTAAAATTCGATAGAGTAAATTCACAATAAACCATGCCATTATTTAGAGCTACCCGAGTTACTTTGAATATACCACCATAATTCGAGTCAGCAGTAGCTATGGTTGGAGACGAATAACCACCTGGATTAATAAAACGTTGAAGTTGAATTGTATCGTCATTCAAGCGTTGACATACAAATACATGATCATCACCCTACACAAAAAAATATCAAAGAATGAAACAAAAACTTCTAATGGCTCATACCATCTGATCATCAAGTGACAAGCCAATACCAAGCCATTGGGATGTGCCAAGATTATTGGTAACTATTACAACAGTGGTTATTCCGTCCAAATATGTCCACTTCAGATTCAACGGTGCACCAGAGACTTGTGAATTGATTGTAGTAGTATCCACTAATGGCATTGAAGTCTGATAGACAATAGCAAACGATCTTTAAGAAACTCAAAAAGAATGAAAACAATAGCTGATTCCTACACTAGCTGATTGAGAAACTACAGTGATAGTTGTAGATGAAACTGTAGTGAAAGTTGTAGGTGAAACGCCAGTGATAGTTGTAG